TTTGAAAACTATTTCGAAACAAAAAAAAAAAAACACGCAACTATTTGTTTTTCAAGAAGCCTTCTAGATCGCAATAGGATGATGACATCATTTATGTAAATCTTCTTAAGCAATTTGTTTTAAACTTAATTCACCTATTAATAACAATGTGATTAATCACGCTTTAACATTTAAAGCGAAATGTTAAAACGCGTTTACAAATTTGACATATTCATAATAAAACTTGATCCGTTCTTGCGTCAATGTAACTTATTATTTTTTTTTCAACTTTATTGTGCTGTTCGAAGATGATGTGCAGATTTTTAGAAGAATGTTACATGCGCTATGGGGGTTCGTGTCTGCTGGTTTTCGACGGACGTCGGAAGGTGGCAACAAATGATTACGCCCTGCATAATGATGCTACATTGTATGAAAGTCTGAAAGCAGATTGTCTGTACGAAGAAGACGAAGACGATCTTATAATGATGATGGTGATGAGGATGATACGAATCGGCGAGTCATTCTGCTGTAATCATCAGCATCTCTCGCGATTCATGCGCCTCGTTAATGACGCTTCGGGGAAGGCCTTTCAATTGCGGTGTTCTTCGGCGTCTGCCCATAAAGATCCGCGACGAGTAAATGCACCACCAACCACTCCATTATGATTTATTGGGAGAGCCGCGGGGCATCGTAATTAGCGCAGCTATTATCGTCATCATCGTCATAATCATTGCTTCGTTTTCAGGTGCTTGCTGCAGCAGGGATCAATCCAATCTGCATACTTTCCAAGTAACTTTACAAGTATTGAGTTGTATCAGAGAACGAGGATCAATCCAATATGCATACTTGTCAAGTAACTTTACAAGAATTGAGTTGTATCAGAAAACGAAGATCAATCCAATCTTCATTTTCAGATGCTGGCTACAGGACCGGAGCAAGGATCAATCCAATCTGCATACTTGCCAAGTAACTTTACAAGTATTGAGTTGTATCCGAGAACGAGGATCAATCCAATCTGCATACTTGACAAGTAACTTTACAAGTATTGAGTTGTATCCGAGAACGAGAATCAATCCAATCTGCATACTTGCCAACTAACTTTACAAGTATTGAGTTGTATCCGAGAACGAGGATCAATCCAATCTGCAAACTTTCCAAGTAACTTTACAAGTATTGAGTTGTATCAGAGAACGAGGATAAATCCAATCTACAAACTTTCCAAGTAATTTGAAAAGTATCCGAGAAAGTCGAAGGTCCAACAGGAATGAATTTCAATCTCGGATTCCGATCGACGGATTATATACACATATACGTATATTGTTCTTCGGCCCACCCACCCGGATTTCATTTACGTTCTCTCCATTTCCATAGACTATATCTAACCTCCTCCTCCTACCATCCATTTCTCTCTCTTCGTTCATATTTCCACGCGTCCGAGCGCAGACACAGAGTCTCCCGTCCTCTCTTGCATAATTTCGATCACGCACCAATCCGAATAATTATCATTTCTAATATAGTTTATGACGCTGCCAGGTGTACAGATGAGGTCAGCGTGTGAATCAAACCGTTAAATTCCACGAAAATACTTTCCAATTGTGATCTCTCGCTCTTTGCTCCTGCTGTTGCTGCTGTTTTGCAGCCACCACCACCGCCGCTGCCGCCTCGCTTTTCGTCTCCATTATCTCCGCCCGATTCTATTATTATTCTCATTATTTCTGCACACTTGCAGCATCTCGGAATCGACACCACCTGTCAAGAATTGACACACATGTCACATGGATTTTATTGCGCACCTCCATTATTAATTCATACGCAACAACATTGCTGCGTTACTATCGCAACAAACAAAATCTTATTAACGTCATCTGTCAAGTTGACGTGTGACAGGTCATATTTGTTTCTGAGTCTCACGTCAATTGATAGGAAGGACCCGGAATTTGAGAAGAATTAAAGAAAAAAAAAGAAGTGGATGAATGGATTATAACGAAGCGCAAGGGACGGACGACCTCATGATCTCATGAATGGAGTCCCGTAAGTGGCCGTAATTTATAGTCCATTCCACATGTTTTACATGGTTCTACGTCTCTTTGTGTGTCCTTCTCACGTTTCTTCTCTATCTCTCTCTCTCTCTCTCTATCTTTCGTTTCATTTTTGCTGGATGCATACGAAACGAGGAAGTCGCTCGTTTAGAGATGTTACGTCGTCGTCGTCGTCGTCCTGTGTTCTCCATGCAGCTTCGAATACGCGGAAACCATCCGGCATGGAGCTGTGCCGCGACGGCATATTAGTTAATGAGACCAATGTTTCTTTTTCAATTGCCGTTTCGATGGAATTATGAAAACGAAAACAAACGCAAAACAAGTGCAAACGATGAATGACTTAATAAGTTATTCACACAATTTGTCTTCTTTCTTTCTTTCTTTTTATGTTGTTGCTTGGGAACCGTTTTCGAAGGGGTAGCAGATGCGACCCGTGACAGGTTTCCACTCTTCATTTTTTTTTCTATTTTGTTTGTCAGAGTGCTATAGCCTTCTCGGAATTCTCGCAACTCCCCCAAAGAGCAAGCAAGCTCTGAACTCCCCCTCCTCTGATGCGAGATGAGAGTTCTCTAGATCGCACGAATCCGGGCGATTTGTTTGGATGGAAATGCAACAACAACAACAGCATCAAAAAAAAAAAACTCGTGTGCACGTGCAACACGCGTCGCGTGAAAAATGTCGCCTGTCAAAACGCAGAACATATTTTTGTCGACTTTCGACTGTCTCAATTTACAAATAATATTCAATCAGCAACTGTCAATCAGTCGTCGTGACAACTGGTAAATTCGTGCGACCATTTTGTTTATGTCAATTCAACATTTCGTCGCGCCTTCTTCTCTTTAGTTTAATACATTGATTTCGATTAAAGTTCGATTAATTTATAATTTGACATTTGTCATAATCACAATTTCTTTCAGCCATTTCGTTTTTCAATTGTTCGAAAGCATTCTACTGTTTCAATTCTTTTTTTAATTTGACAGTTGTTCGATTCGTATACGCTTGGTGACGTCTGTCACAAATCATCCGATTCTTATCAACAATTCGTATTTTTCCAATTGTTCCACGTTCTCTCGGTATTCTCTCGTGTTATTTACGATCCTAAATTGAATCGAATAAGAAGAACAGCTGCATTTGATGTAGATTCCTGGATTTTTCATCGAATAAACGATGGGAGTGTCAAAGTGACAGGATAAAGCAATCTACTAAAAAGAACAGTAAGCCTGGATTTGTATTAAGTAAGCAGAATGAGAGAGCGAGACGCGTGAGAAAAGGGCATCAACAAGTCTTCTTCGTCCCATGGGTCCATGCTTTTTTTTTTTTATTGGAGCATCGCCGCACCTGGCCTTCGCCACCCTCTTTTTTTATTACCACCATCATCATCATCGTGAATAACAATAATATGATTCTCCGAATTCCTTAAGTGCATAGGGAAGAAGGACCCCATCGAATTCGGTGCAGCTGCCGCCGCTTCCGAATTCGCAGAAATCTCTTCAAGAGGGTTGCCTCCTTTCATTGTCCCCCTTTGCGGTCGTCTTCGTGCTAACACAGCGCAGGGTGGGATCAGCGTAAGCGTGCAGACGATGATGGAGAAAAAACAAAAACAAAAGAAACCTGTGTCACGTGCTGCAGATGTCGCGGCAGGCGGGAGGCGGGCAATTCGAAATTAATGCTCCGTTCTGATTTCGATCTCTTCCTCTCCTCTTCATCATATGCATGTGCGTGTGTGCGAGAGAGCGTGTTGTTGTAGTATGTTGTAGGCCTGCGACTAACAACGGACGAGGTGTTTCGTGGAAATGCGAAGAGGCCAAAGTAAATTGAACCGTTTTCCCGGAACGACGGCTGCACCAACGCAACGCGCGTGTGATTCGATGCGTTTCCACTGCATTTCACTGAAATCACACCAAATCGACGCATTCCTCCCACATCGCTTCGAATAACACCTACATTTTTCATGATTAAACCGTTTCCAACATAAATTTAAAAACATCGTTACGAAAACACCAACAACTAAATGAACATTAACTAAATGAATTTCATATCTTTTGCAAGAAAAAAAACGATCAGTTTTAGAAAGTTCGCGGATCGGATGGATGGATGCAACAACTTCTCCTTCGCAAACGCCGTAATTGATTCATTTACTCGGAATGCGTTTCTTCTTTCAGCGACGATCGGCAATTCCTGCGCTGCTCCTTCATCTTCTTCGCTCCATGCGAGATAACAGATCTCCGAGAGAGAGGTTTTTTTTTTTGTGTTATTTTTTATGTGGAAATGGAAAATATTTTTATCGCCACATCCGCTCCCATCAATGGGGACCGAAACGCACAGGCCGGAGAGGAAGAGAGGACACAAAAAAAATATTGTGTGTGTGTCGGCACTCTCTGGGTTTCGTGGAAAATCGCGTCGGAATTAAATGATGACGGCGGCGATCATGATCATTACCCACCGCCGCTTCCCGGGAATTTCAATTCAGATGAAAACGTCAAAAACGTCCATTCTCAAATTACAATTTTGTTAATTTCAATCAATTAATTTGGACACTTTCAAAGTTACAAGTTTTTGTAGAAATAAAAATCGTCATATTATTGATAAGCTGTCATTTATTGACACATTGACGTTGACGTGAAATGATTTTGACGGATATGTCAAGATGCTGCTGTCACTCAACGTTGACAGGACCGAAATTAGATTGAAAACTGGAAAGTCGATGTTACGTAACCACCACGATTAGGTAATTGTTTCCGCGTGTCGACGTTGCTCTTGTTGTTGTTTGTCTGGTATTGCGTGTACGCATTATGCAAACCCTAATCCGCGACGTACACAGCAGGCGCGTATTTTTATATTTCTCTTCCTTTTCCCGTTTCTCGTGCGTATGAGTGTGCTTTGCTTTCGTTCTTTCTTCTCTTTCGTTTTGTTTTCTTTTTGAAGTTTCTCGAGAGCAACGAGCAAATAATAATAACAATAATGACAAGGAAAACGTACCGGGAACGCATGGCATTATGGAACGCGCTTCTCGGAAAATTAGCAATTGCACTTAGGCTCATAATTTAAATAATTGCACTTAATTGCACATTTTCACACAAATACGACACGCGTCCATTAGGCGTCCGGAGCCAAAAGCGAAACGCAAGATAAACAAACGAGAAAGTGACAGCATTACTCTTGATCACTTTGAAAATGACAAATTTGGAAGATTTTTCAGGAGGATATTAAAATAACAATGAAAAACGGTTTTTATAACTTGAAATTAATTGAAAATCGATAATAATAATAAAGAAAAATTGATAACGAAATTAGCTTAACTTGATGTTGTTGCATCGTCGTCCTTCGGCAAGTTGCTGAGGAATGTGCCGAATTTCATGGCGGCCAGATGATCGGTCACAATGAAGATGTCGTCGAAGTCGTCCATCATATTAGCAATTCCTGATAGTAAAGTAAAAAAATGTATCATAAACTTAACATTTATAAAAAAATGTATGATTTACCTTCTTCGATGAAATCAAAGTCGGAGAACAGCGAGCATTTGGGGTTGCTGTAATACACCTTGATCTCGAGGCAATTGAAGTGTTTCAGGATCTGAAAGAAGTTAACTGTTAAATGGTAATGTTCTTGTGAGGGTGTACATCACGACTAACCTCGATTAGTTGGTAAATGTCGACTGGTTTAATGTAGCAGAACTTCGAGCAGATCTTCCTGAAGTTCTGGTAAGGATAACTCATGCAGTGTGTGATGACGATACCCAACCAGTTGCAGAGGACGGACACGTTGTAGTTGCCGTCGATCTTTATCCACGGGCAAATCGCAACGCGCTGATCGAAGTTGCGGCCGTTGGGTTTACTCTGCACAATGCTCCAGGAGTTCGCGTGGACGTAGTGCACGAAGTGGAAGTTCTGGATGCCGACGCGCAGGATTACACCAAGACGTCTCAGAGATTTCAGCGCTGACTCCAAGTCGAACTCTTCAAATTCCGCCTGAAATAGAAATAGAAAGCTTGTGATGATTTGAAAAATTGTTGTTTAAATATTTACTTTGAGTTCCTTCGAGGTGGCGCCGAGACCCTTCTTGCTTTTTATAAAGTTTATAAGGGAATCCGTAGAAGACTCGTTTATTCCGAACGGTTCCAAAGTCCTGTAAACTTCTTCGATCGATGCCGGGAACGTTTTCGTCAAGTACTGCTTGCGAATTTCCTCCAGAAACTTGCTGGAATTTTCCACGATATCCACGTAACATGTTTTATAGATATCGTCGTGGGAGACTGGCTCGTCCACCGTGTACGAGCAGTCTGGGTACTTGGTGACGTAGTGCTTGTTCAGCTTGTCCAGTTCATCGTCGTCGTCGAGTTCGGGGAAAAGACCGCGCGTCATCAGGAAGGTCAACTCCGAGATCTTGAGTCTTCTGTCCACCATGATGATGTTATCCTCATCTTTGTTCTCGATCTCGCCTTTGCTCATCTTCAGAAAGTCCTCCAGCTTCTTCTGCAGGGCATCGTTGTTCTCCGGAACGTCGTTCGGATCCTTTTCCAGCATCATCTTGTACCTCTGCGCGAACCACTGCACGAGCTTCTGGTGATCCTTGATGGTCGGGTCCAAAGTGATTATCTCTTCGGACAAGTCAAAGTTGAAGGTGAAAGTCTTGACGGTCGCCAATTCGATGAGGGCCAAACCGTGCCCGTGCTCGTAATCCTTCACCGATTTCGCTTCGGTCCTCATCGACTCCCCTTCGTTGTAATAACTCATCATCAGCTCGTGAACATCCGCGAAGATGCTGTCAGGGTACTTGGTGATCTGCTTGAAAAGATAACCGAACGATAAATGGTAGATGTTTCCGCAGATCACGGCAGTGTTCCTCGATGTATCTACGATCCGTCCTTTGGTGCACGAGACCAGCTGCTGATTTCGCAGCTCCATCAGAGCTCTGCGAAGAGTGGCGTCCGAGAACGTTTGATAGATTTGCAGAAGTTCCAGGGGCCAATCTGACGGTGGATTCGTCACGCTCAGCGCGCTATGAATGACCGCTTTCAGCGTGTCCAGAATCACGTCATCGGTACATGCAGGATCCTTGTAAATCGCTGGATTCTTCTCGTTAAATTTGTCGAAGTAGTCCGACTGCAGGAAATCTTTAACATTAACGAAACCTGGCGCGACCTTTTCCATGCACATCCAGTTCTTGTATGTGCAATACGCTAAATGCAGGAACGTCAAATTCATTTCGCTCTCTGTCACCTGACGAGCGTCCAACTTTTCGCGCACCCTGAAGAAGTGCTTCTGCGTGAATGGATCCGAGTGCAGATCGATAAAATTCATCTTCTTGTTGGTTTCGTTCGCTTTTATCACGAGGATGCGTCTTCTGTACGCCGCCGAGGTCTTCCTGCTGTACGGCAGGATTCGATGCATGAAATCACGTATCGTCGTATTGTTCACGTTGCGTTTCCTCAACGACGGACACAGATAATTGATGGCATCCCAGCAAATCTTCAGAAGGGTATCCTCCTCTTCGCTGTACCTGGAACGCGACAATCCGGTCTTCTGCAGGATCATCTTGTCTACGCTATCCGTACCGTTCCTCTTGATACCCATCTTCCTCTTGAGTTTCGCAGCAGCCGCAGCTTTGCGCATCTTCATTCTCAGTTTTATTTTCTTCTTCAGTTTAAGTTTCTTCGCCGCTTCCGTAGAGAGCATCTCCGGACTCTGCTGCACCTTCTTCCGTTCCTTAATGAAATCCCCGAACTTCACCGGCTTGATGTTGTCCATGTATCTTTTGCGGACTTCGCCGACGCGCGGTTTCTTCTCGGGCTGCGGTTCCGAGCGAATCACGTAAGTCCAGTTGCGTTTCATGTGGAGCCAGAAGCAGGAATCCACGCAGCACGCGCCCAAACCGTCTCCCGGTAAATAGCCGACGTCTCTTTCGGCGGCGCTCTTCACCGTCTGCGGTTTCAGGTGCTCCATCAGTATGGGTTTAAAGTTAATATTCTCCAAATGAAGCGAGCTTTCGTTGGCCAAAGTCTTCATTCCCAGTTTAGAAGACATGCTTATAACGTTCATGTCGTTCCAGTATTTGGTAATATCATCCATACAACGGAAATGATACCTGTTCATCGGATACTCCTTTTTGCTGACGTGGTGGTAACCGGGATCGCTGCTCGTCGTGTCGTAAAGGATGGCATTCTGATTGACGTAGACGAACACTTGGTCCTTCTCTTTGAATTTCTGCGTGCCAAACTGGAGGAGTCCCATGAAACAGAGAAGATTGAGAATGTCGAAGATGACGTACACGTATCTTCGGTTTTTCATGAGAGCATCTTTGATATCCGACGGCAGTTCCTTGATAAGGTAATTCTTCCTGATGGGATGATTGAGAAATTTCTTTTCCAAGTCGGGTATGATGTAGCCGACTTTAACAATTCGGACGAACGTCGATATGGGCATCCTGAAGATGAGATCTGAGATGAGGACCCAACCTTTCGGGTAATCTTTGTATGTTGGAAGCGGACCGACGAAGGTCTTCCAATTGATCTGCTGTTGGTACATGCTGCTGCAATCATTCAACAGTTCGTCGATTTCGTGGTGTCCGTGGGTCGTTAGCAGGCTTTCCTTCTCGACATCCTCCAACTTTGCACCGTTGTAATCGCGAGTCACGTAGAAGAGCAACTCGTGCAGGAGCTTCATCTTGATGACCTTCGGACTATATCCGTAGACTATACCGATGGTCCTGCAGAGCTTGAACATATCCTTAGCCTGAGTGTTCCTCTGAATATTCTTACGTCTGGAGTAGAGGAAGACGCTGATCTTGAACGCATCCAAGTTGAGCGCCAGATGCTCATCGACATTCACCGTGCTCCAGCAGAGAGTTGTCCTGCACCTCACGATTCCTTTGCAACGCGCTATAATCTTCAGCGCTTTGATAGATCCATCCGCAACCAGATACTCGTATATTCTGTGCAACGATTGTCTGTCCACCAGCGACTTGTAACCTTCCTCCTTCTCTTTCGCCTGCAGCCCATACTGTATGTTGTGCAGATCGGTGATCACCTGATGCTTCTGCACAACCTGCTTAACGTAATTCATCCTGGACTTGACCCTCTGCCTGTGCGGACTGCTATCCCTGCCGAAGTCTTTCGGATCCGTCGATATAACGTAGACAATGTCTATGTCATCCTTATCGTTCTCGATGACTCTCACTTCGGGTTTCGGCCCGAAGAACTTCTCGTACTTCACCCCGTACATGCTGAGCTTCTCCTTCTCCTTCTCATTCTCCACCTTCTCTTCGAGCTCCATTGCTGCAACATCGTTCTCGTTCTCGATTTTACACTCATCCTCGAACTTGATGCTATCCACATTTTCGAAACTCTCGATAATTTCCTTCTGATAATCCTCATCACGCGCGCGCACATTTTTAATCACATCACCGTCTTCTTGATTCCCATCCAAGCTGTTAGCATCCTCCTCTTCGATATCTTCCTCATCCGAAGACACGAAGGAATTCGGCAACTCTTTCTTCGCTTCCACGTCCGCCTTCAACGACTCAATGATCGCTTTATTTCTGTTGATATACAGTTGATAGCTTACGGATAATTTCGGGAACACGTTTAAAAACATCTGGAAATGTTTTTTGCCCATCTTGAAATTACTTTTCGTGGCGCTTCGCCTCTTCTTCAGTTCTTCCACCAATTTTACGTCAATCCTGGACTCGTCCGCTTTCACTTTGTCACCGTACAAGGTGTCACTGACAACACTGGCGTTCTTTGGCGCAAATAAACCGCACATCACTTGCTTGAAATCTTCACTTAAATCCACACTGATGGGATTCGGCTTCAAAATACCCAAATTCCTGCTGGCTTCCGGTCTGATAAAGTCCTCCTTGTTGGTGAACAGCTCGATGATTTGCTGACGTTCATCGGAATTCGCGTCGTCGGGTTTCTTGTTTTTCTTTCGTCGCAGCTCACGCAGCTGTTCGTATTTCCCTTTGAATTGATTTTCCTCCACGATTTCGATCATCTCCAACCTCGGTTTCTTCTTGACGTGTTTGGATTCGACGCCTAAAACGCCGGCAACGAAATCGCAAGCTTCGTCATCGCTGTCCTCCTCGTTGTCGTGTTTAGCGTCCTGGTTTTTCTCTTCCTCCAAGAATTTCTTGTAAACCTCTTCATCGGCGAAACACGAAGCCACATATCTAAATTAAAGTAACATTTCGATTGGATTGATGGATAGAATTAATTAACGTAAACTTACAGGGTGTATCTGATTCTGCCTGCGTCCATTTTCTCCAAAGTCAAAAGCTTCTTCTTGACGAGGGTTCCCAAGAGGCCGCGCAGTGTATAAAAGTCAATGCATTTTCGACGTTGAAGTTCGGCCGTGCTGACGCCGGATCTGCCGGTCTTGCGGATGCATTCGTATACGTCGTGCAGCAGGGAGACGTTGTAGCAGTACGACCCGACCTCCTCGTCATCGGAAGTGTCTTCGCTCGAATCGTCCTCCTTCCAGAGACTCTTCAGATTGACATTGCTGTTTGCCAGCTCGAAGACTCGGATCGTTCTCTCCTCGGGGGTGGCCAATTTCTTCCATTCGCTCGGCTGCGCGTCCGGGTACATCTCCCTGTACTTGATGCTTCTCCTGTTCACTATCGTCTTGAACTCATTCATTTTTGTCAGCGACCTAATGTTCATCTCGAACCAGTACTTCCCCAGCCGCTTCTTCAGCTCATCAATTTCCATCCGGTTGTCCGGTTTGGATTTGAGCAAACGAACGATCTGCTCCATGATGATGTGCCTTTTGTTCTTGATCTCGTTGTAAAAACGCGGCAGATGCAGGATGCAACCTTTGATCGCGCCGCCTTCCTTCTGCTTGGTGTAGCAGTACTGCTTGAGGATGAGGTTGTGCTTGTGCAGCAGCTTCCTGAAGTAGAACAGAGTCTTCGCATCCTTGATGCCCATACGCACCAAAGAGTTTTCACCGTAAGTAAGTTCGCCCTCTTTCCTCGACCTTCCGATCCTCTCCATGAGCTGATACTGTATATCGGACAGATCGAGAATCGGGGGGCTCAGATCGAAGCGCAAAGCGTCCGCGCGAAAATCCGTGGACGCCACGAGGACCAGTTTATTGCCGTAAGTATTGGAGGATTCGGCCAAGGACAGTCTCTTCACTACGTCGGTGATGTTGACGCGATCGAAGTACGTGGAGCATGAGCCGATGATGCCGTTGACTTTATCGTGAATCGACACGAAAGGGTAAATATCCACCGTATTCTGTACGAAAAGCAAAAGCGATTGATAAAAACAAAGAAACAAAACAATCGACGCTTCTCACGTGTTGAAGGCAGGACGGATCCTCCGCTTTGTATCTGTTGTTGATCACCAGCTTCGGTCTCGGTGTCGGCAACTCGAAGCAGGAGATGTCATCCACGGACATCAGATAATTCCAAATCACGTTCTCCAGTTTCGACGACAGACAAGTGCTGTAGTTCAAGGCTATGGCGATGCGTTTCCAAAGACCTATCAAACATGGCGTTAATAAAAAACAAAAAAACACAATAACAAATCGCACCTTCTATGGTGATGCCATCCAATCCTTCCAGAGCCACCTCATCAACAGCGGTCACGAAAATGTTCTTCGCCTCGTACAGATTGCTCTTCAGCATTGCCAAACTTTCGACATCTTCTTCCTCGATTTCCTCGTCAGATTCGGGAACGACGTTCGCTTCGTTCGTTATCTTCGCGATTTTCGGGGACTTCGGCGTCGCCGGCTTCTTCTTCCTTTTCGCCTTGCTCTTGGACTCCATCCTTTCTCTCTTTCTCCTCGTTCAATAATTTAGATCGTTTATTAAAAGTGGATCGCGTGTCGACTTAAATATAGTCCCTGAAAGTTCGGGGAAATTTATGTAACACTTGTTGTTCGATGTGTGCGCGAGTGTGGAAAAGCGCGTTTCGCGGAAAAATTCGTCTAAACGATTCCACTGTACGACCAAATGAATTCTTTATCAAATGGTGTACATACACCAAACACACACACACTACAAAAAAACAAAAAACAAAAGAAGCACTGGAAAAATTACATATATATATATAAAACTTAATTGAATAATTGACGTTTCTATGACATTTGGTTGAGAGGTCGCGGCTTTCCACGTTCAAGAATAATCGATCCCTCTCGCTGTCGTCGATCGGCATTTGTTGTTTTTCACGGACAAGATGCGATCGGCAACGTCGCTCACCTTCATTTATTAATTATTTTCAGTCCTCCTCCAACCCCTTTCACATCAACCCCTTCCCAAACCCTCCATTTACAAATCGAAATTATTTTTATTTTTCTCGGACAAATGTGATTTTAGACTTCCCCGAACGGCCCTTCGCTTCAGACGACTTCGCAACAGGTGCACAAAAAAAAGAGGGAAAGCACGGACAGAGAAATCATGCCGCAAAATCTGCGCAACAACCTCTAATGACACCTGTCATTCGGATAACAGCTGCTCGGACGCATCTGTCAGTCGTATTTTTTTTTTATCTTATCCTTCAGTTGTTGTTATTTTCATCGTTAGTTCAAATATTAAAACTGATATTATTCATGCAATCTTTCAGGACGAAATATTACAAATTTTGACGTTTCACCTTACAAATTAATTGACATTTATGATTGATGGACGTTTGACAAATTGCAAGCGTTCGTAAATTGTCACTACTAATTACGATAAGATTTACGTAATGGTTTAGTTTATTTGTTAAATGCGAATGGTACGCATTACAAAACAAGTTACTTGACGTATCTGTCAAAAATAATTAATATTTACATACGAAATTTTGACGTTTGTCAAATTGACGTATGATTTGTATGAATGAAACGAGAACAACTCAGTTCACAGTAATAATAATAATAATGGAGGAACGTGCGCCGCGTTTCTGGAAAACAAACGGCCGGAAAAGTCGGAGTTATTTGCGGAATTCGAAAAAAAAAACAAACCTCTACGCTTTTCGTATGTTATTGTGACGTTGTTATTATTATTATTTTAACACGAAGCGATTAAAGTGATTTATAATAATTCACGGAAACGTAACTTTACCTCTGCCGCCGCCGTCGGTCTGTTTCTGTTCAGTTGCGTCCACT